AATGATTCTAATACTGGATAATGAGACTGGTTATCGGTTGGTATATATATCATCTCGCATTATTCCTTTCTAATATCGAATAAAATATTTCGATGAGTTTTCACATTAATGTGAAACGCGTGGAGGCTTCATAGATACTTCCTCAAGTTCTGTAGATAATATCATCACGAGCCTTGCAGCTTTTCAGAAACGAGCACTCCCAGCGATGCGATACTCCAAAGCACATTTCGCCTCTCCCGACGATTTAGCGTGGCGTGCGCGCCCATCGGTCTTCAGTCGTCCGTGTTTTTCCGCGATTGCCGTAAGTGTTGGTGCTTGACCGCTGGTCAAAGGCCCGTGCGCTCGTACGTATATTTATGGCACTTGGGGCGCGAGTTTCTTGAAGTATGATAGGAGGGTGCGCGGCCGCTACTTTAGGAAAAATGTGAGAGAGAGAGAGAGAGAGAGAGCTCCCTTCGTATTTACGTTCTAACTTCTCGCCAAACGTTCTCGCGATAAGTCGCAATACAAAAATGATAAATTGTAGCTTTCAAAAAATATTCACACAAGTAAAATGGGAAAGTATTGAGATTAAGTGTTCACTTGGGAAAATGGTACACAAGCTGTAACGTCAAACTGCGGCTAAATATTTGAGCTTGACGATTAAATATAATCGTCTAAACTAGATCGTTAAAAAGAATGAAGGACTTAATTGAAAAAATGTTCTTTTACATTGTCGAACAGTGTCCGTGATTGCCCTGAGATTCGAAAAGAATTATGCGACAAGGGGTTAAACTTCTCGGAGGGTACGGCCGGCACGCGGGCCACTTTGCTTCATTAAGCAATAAGTGATTGCATGCCTTAAACCCCATTGCTTCTTGCGTATTTATGGGGACCGTGTGCCATATGCAGCGGCTACGCTGGGATACGACGACGCTTTTATACGTCTAATGGCCGTGATATCTCGGCTCGTTTTGGAGGGAGAAAAATAGTACAGCCAAGGTGGCGGTCGGTCCGGGGGGGGGGGGTAGCTCTTCGGGGGTGGCTTAACTGGATCAGGCCAAGAGGGCAGCGCTCTTAGTAATTGAATTAGTGACCCCTCGCGTCCGAGTGTGATTGCTTTGGGTTTTCCAGTAGCAGAGTTCGGTTATCTGTTCCCCTCTTCGTCCCGCAGGACGATCCCTCTCGCCGTCTCGATCTCTCTACGAGGTATCGGATAACGTTCAGCAACTACGATTTTGCACCTCGGATCGAGACGCTCGGGATATACTCAGGTAGTTTGGCCAAGTAGATTTGGAGAAACGTGTTATGGGACTTGGAAGATACCTATGGATTCTCAGAATTTCGATTGCCGAAGTTAACGTCAACGATCAGCACTTTAGTGCTGCGATAATCGTCATTCTTTCTTTATTCAATTTTATTAGGAGATGTGCAGGAAGGCTCGCCAAAACTATTATGCATAAGTTATAATTTACTAAATTACAACAATTAGGTGTACGAAACTAAATTGTAAGAATAATTATTGTAACACGTAATCGTACTAATTTACTGTTCTCTTTTCAGAAAGTAATGCTTATGAAAAATGAGAAGGATATACCTATGAATTCAAACGATGCCGATTTTCGCCCCCTCTCCCCCTCTCCCGGTTTCTACGGTACACACGGTAATAAACGGCCGGCACGTTCGAGTTAATGACTGCGACAACGCGCGTGTGTGTTGCGCCGTGGCTTATGCTAACAATGCGCGGACGAGGGGCGTCGAAAACCGCGCGAGTTATTTTGGCGTACGGGAGGGAGGTGGTTTTAAACCACCGCTGTACATATGGATGCGGGCCGCACACCCTGCCTAGGGCTCAGATTGGATTACGCGGATATGCGCTAATTGATTAAAGCGCCGTACGCCGTACGCAATGCCGCATGGCGATCGCGCCGGCGTGCAAACGGACGTGGACTGCGGAGCGCGTCTCTCGTTTTTTGCCTCCGTTTCCAGATAAATCGCACGGCCGTTCTATTATCCGTGGAAAGCGACACCGCAGAATATTCCGATAAAAACGCAATTTACCAGTTTCTCGACTCTCATTTGCGTTTAATACATTTTCCCGCGAATTAGCGAATGAAATCCAAACATAATAATCTGATTCTTAAGACGTTCTTAATTCTATAGAAATGATTGATAATGTAAAAACTAGCAAGAAATAGAATAACTATTCTGAAAGAAAGTTACAGATTACTTCTTGTTTCACGAATTTTTTATTGTTAATAAATTAAATCCGGACTTTTGGCTCAGTTCATAATTCTCAGTTTTATTTTAAACAATCGTTAATGTTACAAAAGCATGTAAAGCGCATGTAAAGATCTCGATTAGGGGAAGGATAATTATCCTGAAGGATGGATGAAAAGATGCTCCGAAGCGAAAAACTTTCTTGGCGCGTCGTATAGAGCGGCCGCAAGCATCGCCGCGAGTTAGAGAGACGCTCGGATAATTAACGGCCATACGATTTAATTAATGGTCGCTTAATGTAAAGTAACTACGGTACTACGGCTCTTCGAGGTGTTGCCGACGAGAAGGAGGCGAGGAAAACTTAGAAGGGGGCGCATCGCGAGGAAGAGAGGGAGGGACAAAGGTGGATTAAGTGTCTCGCGTAAGAGCCCTTGACGAAGGGGATGTGATTTATATAATTTAGCAAAGTGGTGAGCTACGCAGTCTTATACCAGGTCGTTAGTCATCCCTACTCTCTCCGCTAGACGGGGGGAGGGAAGGGGGAGGGCGAGCTCGTACCCTCTCACCTTAATCACCCTCCTCCTTCGCCTTTCTGCATCTGTCCGATGAAATCTTCCGCGTGAAGATGCGCTCTTGATGCGACCCCGCAATCTGGCGCACAAGTTTAACACAGCGGTTGATATACACCGCGCCGCGTTACGCGGTTCTCGGATTCCGTGCTTACTTTTATAGTTCTTCGGCGTGTGGGAAGAAATAACTGTCGCGTTTCCCTCGCGTGGAATACGCTTTGTCCTAATGTCATCCAATTAGAGACGCCGACCGGCATCTCGATTTGAATAAGATTCTCATAAGGTGGCGAGATATATGTTGATGGCGCCCAGACTGGAAGAAATGGCCCGTGAACGATTCGCAAAGATCAATTCGGTAGCACACTGGTCGCTCCGGCCCCGGTCGTTCTGGCTCGCGGCGCGCATTTGTCCCTGTGAATTAATCATCGCGCGACGAAAACCTTCCCTGTTACCCGCTACACATCTCCGACGATGACTCACGGCATTCGGATTTCTGTTTCGCCGAAAGCATTCCTTAACAACGAGAGGAAAACTCATCCTTTTACGCTGTAATGATATATAATTTTGCAACGTAATCGAAAAAGCACTCTATCCTATAAATATAGCGTACAATTATCTTTTAACAATTTTACGCAAGAATTTACTTGAGCAATAATTAATTTGTAGGATCCAATTGTCGGAACAACGGAAGTGGCAACGGCAAGCAGAGGAGATCGCGGACGAACTTCACCATTGAGCAACTGGCCGAGCTCGAGAGGCTCTTCGACGAGACGCACTATCCCGACGCGTTTATGAGGGAGGAGCTGAGCCAGCGGCTAGGTCTCAGCGAGGCGCGGGTACAAGTCTGGTTCCAGAATCGACGCGCCAAGTGTCGTAAACACGAGAGCCAGTTGCACAAAGGTAACACGCCGCTAACGGAACTCCACAGCGGACATAGCTTTTATTATTATCTTTCATTTTCTTTTTAGTCTAAACATCAATCTTTTCTAATTAAACGAGACGTATGGTAACGTATGATAATTGATCAAGTACAAGAAAAAACGACTATAATTTCAATCAACGTTGATAATTGTGAGATAATTTCGCATTTGTTGCCTGATTAAAAAATTGATAGGACTCCTTCTTTTTCTCTCTTGTTATAATTAATATATTTGGCTCTAATTAAATTTTCTCACAGGCGTCGCCGGGAGCATGGTGCTGGCGCCGCGCAGCCCGCCGACGACGTTGGAACCATGTCGAGTTGCACCTTACCTGCCAGCCCTCAGGTTGCATCCGCCGATGCAGGGAACGGCCGCAAACGTCACAGTGGGATCAGCCTTCGACCCGGCAGTGCTGCACTATGCGGCGGCCGGAGGCCTTTTCTGTCTGCCGCCACCACCGCCGCCCCCGACGTCGTCGGCCGGCCATCCTCCTCATCCGCTGAGCCTGGCGGCGTCACTGGCCGCCGCGGCGGCTCGCTCGAAGAACAGCAGCATCGCAGACCTTAGACTGAAGGCGAGACGGCACCAGGAGGCCTTAGGGCTCGACAGGCCCGCGTAAGGTCCGCGGCGTGGTACGTCTTGGACGAAGAGGGATTCGACGGGGATGAAGAGGTGCGGGTTGTCTTGACGGTGAGTACACCCGAGTTTAGAGAGGATCTGTACTCTCATCGAAATGTGACTTTGAGCGACGCGAAGGAAGGACAGTGGACCGATATTGTGATCGCGGTGACTTCAATTTTCGAATATCAGTAAGGAAGGTGCTTATTTTACGTCAAAGTGAATCGTTGTCGGCGCTCGTTAAAACTCTACAAACGGGCACAAATATAGATCTATATCTTTTCTGAGTGAAAACTTTAATCCAAATTCAAGAAATTTTAATTGTATTTTTTTTTCCCTTTGTATTATTTTGGTATTGAAAACGTCGCAGTTGTTTGTTATACACGGTTAAAGTTATAAAGCGCACGTCGTTGTTGTTTTGTGCAGGAACTCGCTCGCGTATAGAGTATTACAAGCGGCACACGCGCATCTCTTCATCCGCGACGTGCCGAAGAGTCTGAGAAGTACAAAGGACATTCAATGTGTATAAAGTAAAGGATATGTGCGACGGGAAGCATGTAACATACATAATGTATACTGAATCGGGAATCTCGTTTGTATGTCGATTAGCGTACTCTGTGTCGAAGAACTGTGATGTAAAACCGCGAAGTTTAATCAGCACCGATGTCTTAGGAAGGTGCGACACATTAATGTAAAGTTTATAGTCACCAATTCTTGAACCAGTTCTCATCTCATGTTAGCGGGCGTTCGTTCGGAGCGGAAGTTAACATAGCTCTGTGTATATGCTCACACGTGCGAAGGCACATTTAAACAGAAAGTTTGTCCAAGTGATACTTGTCAACGTGGAAACACAGGATGTGTCAAGGTGCGTTCAATATTTTGATGAGTTAAGAACAAAGAAAATCGTAAAACATTTTCTAAAATACGTTTTCTTGACGAACGAAACTATTGTCGACGCCGACCAGAAAGTTTGAAAAACGAGACGCATCGAAATCACTGACCAGCTGTATAAAAAGGATCTTAAATCGCGTCTCTAAGAATAGATTTAAGTCGCAAAAGCAATTTCCACGGGCGGTATCAGTCCACGGTGAAATTCGGGAAATGCCAAGATCACTGATCATCGTAAAAGGAACCGTGCGTCGTTACCAAGAGTAGATTTCGGTCGCAACAGTTCTTACCGGCGATATTAGTCCACGAGGGAATATGGGGAAACTCCAAGACGCGCCAGGATCGCTGACCAACCGCTGGCGGGAATTATAGATCGCCGTGTCTTGGCAGCGGCTTGGAAGACATAACTCTCGTAGATGATTCACGGGCGGGTGGACGGACGCCGGACGATTTCTCGCGTTCGTCGCCGGCGAGCGAGCGAGCGGGGGACGGCGGACAGCATCGCCGTCGGGGCGCTAATGCAATAACGCGCGGCTACGCGGATAAATCAAGCCGGGGCGAACCGCTCGAGCGGTGGCTGTGCCGTGCCGTGCAGTGCCACGCCGCGTAATCGCGTTACCCCGGTCGTCCCCGGGGCGCCGTTATTGTCCCGGAACCCCTTGCCCTCAGAGGGGAGGACGAGGTGCTCCGAAAGTCGCGCGTTCCTCCAGCCCGGTAATTCGTCCGACTTATCTCCGCGTAAATCGTGGGGCGCGATTCTTGTTTCTCATCTATTCATTAGCGGGAGAAATTAAGGACTTTTACGATACTTCTCGAATACGGAAAATTCGCTGAGAGAAGGGTGAGATGTTCTGGATGTTAAATATTGCTGTTACATATAGCACGAGGATATATTAGTGTTTGTCGAGGACGTGTTGCGGAAACTTACCGCTATATCAAATCGCGATGAAACGTCTTCCAGTGCATTCTCGCAGATAAATCAATCATGCATCTCGGAGGAGGGTTGTAATCGCGTTAACACGGATTTATTCCGGCCATCCCCGGGGCGTCGTTATCGTCTCATCCGCGTGCGTCGATAGGTCGAAGCAACGTCGCGTGACCGTGATTTGATTAGCGACTTTAATTAAAAAGAACGCCGGCGCACAGTAACCGTTTCAACGTATATACGACCCACATACGGTTGAACTTTTTATGGGCGTTGTATATAAAATAGGAAAGCCCATAATTCGGTCCTTTTACGACCGCAGGATTGATTCTGCAACGGTGACTTACGGTCTCATAAACCAACATCTCTTTTTCACGATAAAGCTTTCGAATATATAGATTAGCAGATTTTCATTGGGTTAGAATTAATTCAGTGTTATAAAGATATTTTAAATATAATTAATTATCTGCTACATTACGTATTGAAATTGAATCCATTCGCCACTTGTGTTGCAAATCTCATCGTTGAAAAGCTAAATCGATTGGGGCGATTTGTTTATGTAAAAAAATCGATAGACCCGTGTTCATCCGCCCGTGTAATTCATTTAGCGATTTGTGATCAAATTGTCATCTATTACTCCGTCCCGGAGGAGTAATGGACGTGAAAATGTGCTCTATTTTCCCTGTCAGTTCTCGTAAAGAATCACCGAGAGTTCTTGTGACGTTATAGAAAGAACGCGTTGTGTAGCGCTGAATATATCTCCCTTTATATTTTAATTAAGTGTTAGTTATCGAAGATACTTCTACCAGAAGACGTATAATTTTAATAGTTTTTCTTTATTTATTTAAATATATTTGATCTTTTTAGGTTTTCAAACGGAGCAATATAAAGGGTCTTATCGTTATCATCGACAATCACTGACTTTGCGAGGATAGCAATAAACGGAAATAGTAGAAGTTACAATAATTTGCAGCAGCTACGCAAATTAACGGTGAAAATAATGATGCTCCACCTCATTCACAGATAGGAAGATAATAATAAAAGCGCAAGGCCAGGGCCAAGGGTCGTATTCGCCCTTCCACCCCCGGTGACGCTTTCTGAAATAAAATAAAACCCTCTCGTATCCCCGGGATAATTCGGAGGGCGCCGAGGGATGTTCCTCTCTCTCTCTCTCTCTCTCTCTCCCCCCTCGCTCATTTTAATCCGAGTTTTAAGAAGTTTTTCCTATTGCTCGTAAATTGGCCGTCGTTTGTCTGGCCGGGGTCACGTGGGGCCAGCGAGAGGTGGGAACCACCCTCGGGGTATTCTCCCCACTATAGCGAGAGATCCTGTTGTTCGCACATTGCGCATTCGTAGCGCGCGAGTGGGGAACGGAAACTCGTAACTGCGATATAATGTCCCGCGAAAACCAGCTACCATCATCAATTATCTCCGCCCCCTTGTCTCTTCAGAGGGGATGAAACGGGGAATAATCGAGAAGTGCGCGGGGGGAGAGACGACTTGTCGAGATTTCTTGAAGACGTTGCATAAGATCGGAGACGTAAAAATAACAGCAGTAATATTATTTAAAAAAAAGTAAGTAATAAGATTATTTAAAAAATGTATGTCCCTAAAAGATCAAGATAGACTTGACATATCTCTATACTTCTAACTGAAACCAAAAACTTTTAATACAGTAATTAACTTACTTAAAACACGAATTATCTCTTGTCTTTGATAAATATTTTTTTACGACGTCTGAAATTCCCTTCGAATAGCATTTGATTGCATATCTCTTGACGTTAAATCATTTTATCGTTCAGCTCGAGGACTATCGTTGGAAATTCGCTAACGCCCGGTCGGATCATCGGCGAAAAATTCGCGGCAACAGATCAATCCTGCAATTCCAGCGGTGCGCGATCGAGGGGATGGGGCGGGACGGATGCTGCGCGAGATTTGGAAATAATTCAGCCCCGCGCACTGACTGGCGGGCCAAGGGGCCGCTTGCTCCTTCCGGCCGCCCCGCGTGCCTTAATCTAATCCAAGGATAATCTAAAATTCATGACACACATAACTGCCAGGCGATGATATATCTGGCGGGGGTGTAAAGGCAGCAGCGTCTTCTCCGTTTTCCCCCTTACCCATACCCTCCTCGCCGTTCTTGTAGCTTGCAGTTTGCCTCGGTGGATACCCAACAGCAATCACTGGCATTATTATTTAATGCAACGCGCGTGGCGGCTTGTATACACCGAACCCAACTACCCGTAAATCGCGATATCGTAGAGACCTGCTGCTGGATGCTGTTTATCTCGCGAGAGGAATTACCAGCTCGATCGCCGCCAGTTGATCTTTCTTCTCCAACATCTCGAAACACGGTAAATTAAACAGGCCGTAACTGGTCGCATATCGACTGTTTATGATGTTATTCTATCTAAAGAAATTAAGTATACTGTCTGGATACAGTGAAACTTTTATTCGAAGAATACCACGTGGATTAAGAAAGTAATTTTTATAGTAGATCCATCTTTAATGACGTATTACAAAGACTGGAGTTATATCTTAGGTAATCAAAGTCTGACTTGTGTCTCCAATTTATTTAACAACTAATGGAATTTGTTTTATTTCTCGTTATGTAAAACAGATCCTACATAATCGTTCTTTCCAGTTAAATGTTCTGTGATACGGTCGAAGGTCCGATCCTGAACGCAGCATCCGCTTATGCTAAAAGAACTTGCAACTGTTCTCAGCGAATTAATCGATTTGCGCACGATCATCCGCGTACCCTTCTCGATACCACGAACGTCGTTCGTGCCCCGACGGAAGCCCCGATAATCCAGGGAATGCAACCTTTACGACGGGGGGTGAGATGCACGCAAATGGACCGAGGGTGGTCACGCGCCGGCGATAAGAAAAGAGAAGAGAGCGATAAAGTAGGAGAGAAAGAGAGCGGGAGCAAGAAAAGTGGAGGAAACGAGGAGCTAAACGCGAGTTTCCGCCCCTCCGGGCAGATCCGATGCGGAATCAATTCGCGTAATAGTTCCAAGGGGGTTGGGGGGGAAGAGGATGGCTCGGCGGCGGGAAAGGGGGTGGTAGCAAGCTAAATCGACTGACGGTCGTAGGGGTGGGTTAAGCGGAGAGCTCGGATACGGGCCATTACCACACCTGTCCCTCAACTTCGACTTCGCGAGAGAGGGAGAGAGGCGGCGAGCCCGAAGCTCTAATGAAGAGAAGCAATCACTTAAGCCGGATCGCCGCGTATACCCGGTGTGCCGTACGCGGGATACGATACGGTTTTATTTGCGCGGCTCCGCGCCGAGGTACCTACGCTTTTACGGCTCACTCGGGGGAGTGCTCGACGGGGACGCGAGCGAATAGGACACGGAGCGTGTCCCGTATTCGCCGATCCGAATCGCTCCTTCGGGACATCCTCGATCATTTGTAACGCGAGATCGTTATCTCCTCGATAGCGCCCGAACTGGAGAGAACGTTGGAATGCCGGATCGGAGATGACCGCCTTCCGCGTTCTTTTCACAGATAACGATAGAGCTAACCAGAGCTAATAACGCACAAGTGAAAACAGATGTTTGAGGCCCTATAATCGTAATGTAAAGAAATAAAATTTCAGAATTGATTTTTAAAGATGATTGCAAACTCGTTAAATAATTTGAATTACTGTCTAGTACGAGTGCTAATTATTAGCTCTTACTTACCTCGCTTTTGTTTACAAAATCATATCGCTCGCATTACAGGTGCATGAGAGAATTTTGCGGATTTATAATCGTCGCACGT